TGTAGGTTGTATCAACCTGCTTCGAGCTGTTTTTGCATTCCCATTGACTTGTTTGGAGAGATAAGCAGACACACCTGAACATAACTGTCCACACCGGCACTAAATCTGTGTGGAAATATAGCTGCTAATAAGCACAAATTAACTATCAATGGGCACAAATGTGCTTGCATGTAGTATTTTAAAAACCTTGCTCCATTGTACCTAAAGGAGCCGAGGGCATGACATTCAGTAAGAAATTTAATAATTGATCTATTTAAAAAAGGCAATTGGTAACATTATCATGAATGAAAAAAAATAAACATATTTACTGCTGAAAGTGGATGAAGAAAGGAGAAGATCCGAAAATTTTAAATTTAAAGTAGAGCTGGAGCCAATTTTTTTTTAAAGTTTTGGATAGAGCAGGGGTGGGCAACTGCGGCCCTCCAGCAGTTGTGGAACTATAAGTCTTGTAAGGCATTACAAGACAGTTACAGGCATGACTCCCAGAGGCACGTTTGTGATATGCAGTTAAAAGCACAGCTGGATGGCGGGAGTTCCCCACCCCTGGGAAAGTGTAAGGGAGGGTTATAACTCTATTAGCTTTTTGCCATCTGAGTCCCATTGGGGAGATTTCCCATCACTTTCTGTCTACTAGCAAAAACAGGAAATGAGGGAATCCCTGGTGGTCAGCAGAGTCACCAGAACTAGTGTCCCCATTGAAAGATTTCCCATCTATTCATGTTCAGATAACCCAAAATGTCAGATTTTCCTTCCGTTTTACTGATAACAGTCACCGTCACAAATAAGAGAGAGTGAATCTCTCTAAAGGTGACACAGACAGCAATAAAACAGGTGTGCTAATCCCTCTCCACAAAAAAAATGTTTTTCCTTCGCTTGCCCTTTAAGATTGTTTTTAATGTGTTTCCTTATTCTGCCAAATTTGCCTTTCTACAATTGATACCTAACAGAAAATTTTCATAGTGCATGGTATTACAGTGGAGCAGACTAGGACTTCACCAGCTTTCCTAGCCAGCAAAATGTTAACCTTTTGTGGCATTTAAAGAACCCCTGCCTAAAGCAGTCAGGAGTTTGTTTACATTTTTACTCCTGGCTGCTGGCTTCCTAGTCAAAGAGATTTAGGTGGCTATAAAGTTGCCCAGTCACTGCTATGTGTAGAAGGTACCTCTCCCACCTTACCGGGGCATAAGCCCCCACCATTGCCTGGAACCATCATGGCAGGTGTCAAGATGGAGAGTGGTGGGAGATCAGTAAACATCCATTAGCTAATCTTCCCTGGATAGTATGAATCCTCAGCTCTGAGCTTTTCTGGGATCAGAATGATCAACTCTGGCGGGGGAAGAAGCTGATCGTGCACAGCCTGTACTCGATCAGCTTCAACAGAGTGCAGAGGTAACATTAGGGGTCTAAGGTCTCCTTAAAAATAACGTCACCTGCGATATGCTATCACGAAGGGGGGTTATTATGAAGGAGGCTAGTACTGACAATGTTACATGCTCCAGTCTCCATCTGCTACTTTGCCTAAAATTCCTCCTCCAACTGTACCCACCTAAAGGTAACAATGGATAGGATGCATGGGACATGTAGTCCCAGAAACCATTCCAAAACTGACACACTGCTGCACAGACCTCCTCCTGGCTGCATTGAAGAGCTAAAAAAAAAAAAAAAGTTACATCATGATGTCTTGGGTACAAATTATATCGCTTTTCTAAATAATGCAGCTAGTGATTTAAATTATTACATGATTGATGTGTATAGGCACAGGTACAAAAGCTGAAAAACACAGTTATTCCAGGGCTGGACTTGAAGGATGAACAAAGTCGTTGAGAGCCTTTAAGTCCAAAATAGGACTATACACAGATTTGAAATAAAACCATGGAATCGGTTGGTGGGTGGAATGGTAATGAGAACCCTCTAGTTCAACAATACCTGAAAGGCTGAAAGAAGGTCTGAAGGACATGAAGCAAAAAATTGGTAGAGAATGGAAGTGAAACACTATTTAAGATAGTAGCTCCTCCATCCATGCGTTCCTCCCAAAACTTGGCGAAAGCCATCAGGTATCCTTACCCCATCTCTCATTGAACTTGCAGGGGTGGATTTTCATGTAGAGGTGGTTTTGATTGCTTGGTTTGCCAAAGACATTTAGAACAGTCTGAGCCTGAGGGGGTGGAATACTTGTCGGTCCAGGAACCTGACTTTGATGCAGGATAGGAATGTCTCAACTTGTGTCACTGATCTTTAGTTTTGCGCAGCTGTGGTGAGCATTCTTTCCCCCTGTTGCCCTTTTTAATAATGTTGCCCTGCAAAGAGCTGAGAGATCTCCCACAGAGTAGTCGTAACAAAGCCTTCCTTCGTGGTTACTTCACCGACCAGCGCTTAGCCATATCGCCCTGTGGATCTTGACAGAAGGGTTACATGAGACTTAACAATACTAGCATCAAGCCCCAGGAAGCCCTTGACGCAAAGTGATCTGGTCAACAAAATCAATAAACAGACTGTTAAAGTGATATTGAGGTCAAAAGGTTTTTAGGCGATTTTAAATGCTGATTAAATCACTTACAATGGATCCTACTTCTTGATGTTTTAAAGTCTACGCTTCCTGCAGAATTAGCTGGTCCCCTGAGCACTGGCCCTAATGTCCTGTTGTAGGGTGGCTCCTTTTCACTTGCAGGGTCCTATGGAGTCACCCTTCTGTGTGCAACAGGGCAAGCCACTCCCTTCTCCAAGTTAGTAGATGGGTAGCTACTGGAGACTGCTCTGTCCCTTGTGATCTTGTACAGGACGTTCAGTGAAGCTGAGAGAGTTGGAGCCAGCTGTTCAGAAAGACGTTGACTAAGTACCTGAATGTATACTAGCTTGATCTGGATTCATGGTTGAAAACAAGTGTGACAGTTTAATACAACTTTAAACACCAGAGGCCACCAGATCCTAGCGTAGCAATTTAGACCAGTCAGCTAAAGCTTGGGAAATTAGTGTTAAAGGAGAGGATGGGTTCAAGGGCAGACTTCACCAAGGAGCAGATAGAACAGGCAATTGTTTCCAACTTGTACTCGGTAAGGTCCATAAAGAAAGGAGCTTCTTCCATGGAGATAGCCAAAGCTTTATTAAAGCAACAAAACTATGACTGAAATTCAGCTAAGAGGGCCCACTCCTCTGGACAAGAGAGGAACACTGCATGCGACAGTAAATCCTCTGAAGGATCACCAACATAAAATCAGAAATATTAGGCATTACCGTGGCAGAGCACCCATTAGATTAGAGCAAGACATGTCACCAGCAGTAAGAAGACTGTGTCTTTGAGGAAAAAAGAGCTACACAAATCACAAGGAACATTCACGTGCCCCGGTCAGTTAAACATACCAGGGGTTAAAAACAGTAGGTATGGCTAGCAATCACTCGATACTGAAGCTAAATTAAGGTTAGCCAATCTTGCTTCTGAAGGCGCCACACAGAAGCTGGTCTTTAGGAGTCTATTTATTGTTGAACTGACTACCAACAGTGCCTCCTACTCTCCCCACATACATAGGAACAGGTAGCATAACCTCTCCCACCTGGGAGTTCTCTTGGTCACGCTACAGCTGGTGGTTGAGCACTCCAGAGCAGAATCCCACTGCAAGAGAAGCAGCTGTTATGCGCACACACTCCATTCAAGATTTATGCTGCATCATCAGGCCAGAGGAGAAGAGGTGGCAAGTTAAAATGGCTGTTTGGGCATAACCAAAGGCAAACTACATGAGCAAGCAAAAAAAGAAAAAAATAAATCTCTTACTAGGTGGAGACAAGCCTTGTACAAGGGATAGATCTTTAACCTCCTTCACAAAGAGCCCATTCTAATGAAAGGGAAGGCTCCCCCATGTGGCCAGCTTGCAAATCACATAAAAGTCTAAAGGTAAGCCCAGTAGTTTAGAAACAGAACAGAGCCAAAGCAAAGGTTAAGCCCAGTACACAAAAGCACTGTAACAGTAACAGCACTGTCACAGAGAACATCAGTATGCTAACTGGAAATTCTGTGTTTCATGGCTAACTGGAGACTTTCAGGATTTTCAATATCCAGGATGAATCTACTAGTAGATGATGATGATGACGACAGTAGAAATAAAAAAAAAAAAAAAACAGCTGCGCTGAACTCTGCCCACTAAGCAAGTGTCTCTCCCCACTAAGCAAAACTGGGCAAGTGTTAGATCAGAAGGGTTATGCCCTTAAAGGCTACGCCTTCAGTTTCTTTGTGCCTAGTTTCAATATCTCGTATGCAGTGCGCAATTCTGTACGCAGAATTATAACCTAGGCCTTAATGGATAAGAAATACTACAATAGCTTAAAATGTCAGGTAAAGCTTTAAAAACCTTTAGAGGTTATCAATTTAAAGTAAACCATAATGATGGTCCTAGAATTACTCTCCATCTTAAGTTCACAGGCATACCAAATATTTTACATAGTTGGTGTTTATGTACGTACATTTATCCTCGGTGCAGACGTGTATGTGAGTCCTTTTTTTTTCCTTTTACTTAATTTCATCACTATTTCAAGAGGGGCTGTAAGGCTACAAGCTTCCTAAACGATAGTACATATAGAGCAACAGGTACTCTTTATAGAGACTTTAGGGAGATTTGACAGGTCTAAACCCCAAAGTGCTCAGAGCCATGTGCTTTCGCTGCACAAAATCCAGGAGATGAGGTAATAAAGTTCCTCGATCTACCCTGATCTCTCAATTCTCTGCAATATCTGTGGAGGTCCTGGGATCCTACAACAGACAGGTGAGGCTCCTTGGCTGCCATGAGCTGGTTTATATCCAGTTATAGCGTCAACAGTAAAAGCATTAAGGAAGGCTGGGTTACCGACTCCTGAGCATGTGCAGGGATTTATAAAAAGCAATTATGTTCTGTTTAATAGCTAGTTTACAAAGATTAATGGGGCCACAGTTACTGCAATAAATATGAATATATCATTTCCCTCTTACAACCACTGCTTGGTCTCCTATTTTGTGCTAATGATCTTCTAAACCTTCAAGGAAAACCTTCCATTTCAATCTGAAGTCGCTGTAATTTTCTAAAACAGTTTAAAAAAAAAAAAAAAAAAAAAAAACGGGATTTAGTGAAAAAAAATTC